GGCTCTGCGGGATCCAGTGCCCCCTGGCGTCTCGTTGGATGAGCTGGGGGAGGACTGGGACAACCAGCTCTCTGAAGCCATCAACGAGATTGCCCCCCCCCCCGGTGCCCTTTGCACCCCTGCAGCAAAGCAGCACTATGGTATACCACAGAGCTGCGAAGGATGAAGCGGGAGCAAAGGTGGCGGTATGCTCATGACGAAGTGTCACGAACTTTTATAGGACGCTTATGAAAGCCTAGGAGATGGCAGTGAAGGCCACAAAGAAGGATTTCTATGCAGCCTCCATTGCGTCTGCGAGTTCGTGCCCAGCCCAATTGTTTAGAGTTATTCGGTCTATCACGACGCTGCCTCAGGGCAAACCAAATAGTAGGGAATTGGCTATTGGCTGTGAGGCATTTGCGAGCTACTTCACAGATAAGATTGTGGTACTCCACCAGGACCTCCCGGCCACAATTGAGACAGTAAAGGAACTGGAAGCCCCTTGACCGTCTTCTGGTCCACTATTGGACCACTTCAGTCGACTCACCTGGGAGGCCCACTACTTGCCTCCTTGACCCATGCTCTTCCTGGCTAGTGAAATCTTGTGGGGAGAGCATTCGGGCCCCTCTGAAAGAAATCATCAACTTGTCCCTATCTACTGGGACTTTTCTGGAGGCTTTAAAGGAGGTGGTAGTTCGTCTGCCCTTGAAAAAGCCATCATTGGACCCAACAGTCCTGCCCAACTACTGCCCAGCCTCAAACTTACTGCTCCTGGGTAAGGCGGTTGAGAGAGCGGTGACCAAACAACTCCAGGCTTTCCTGGATGACGCTTTCACCCTTGATCCTTTCCAGTCCGGCTTCCGCCCTGGCCATGGGACGGAGACGGCTCTGGTCGCCCTTACAGATGACCTCCATAGACATCCAGATTGAGGTGGGTCAGCGCTGCTGCTGTTATTAGATTTTGTTGTAAAGATTTACTAAGATTATGTACATGACATGATTTTACCACTCTGTGTATGTAGATAATTTCTGCAACTAGTGTCAACTCCCCATCCCAAAAGATGGCCAGTTTGATGTAGTGGTTAAGTGTGCGGACTCTAATCTGGGAGAACCGGGTTTGATTCCCCACTCCTCCACTTGCACCTGCTGATGTGACCTTGGGTCAGTCACAAGCTCTGGCACAGCTGTCCTTGAAAAAGAGCAGTTTGTGTCAGAGTTCTCTCAGCCCCACCCACCTCACAGGGTGTCTGTTGTGGGGAGGGGAAGGGAAAGGAGTTTGTAAGCCGCTCTGAGACTCCAAGTGAAGGGCGGGGTATAAATCCAATCTCTTCTTCTTCTTAAACCAATCATTTTAATGTCCTTTTTAAACATAATTTACTTCCATGCCTTGAAAAGCTTCAACTGCTCAGTTCCAAACACTAAGCCTGTATTAGAGTTCCAAACACTAAGCCTCTATTAGAGCCAGTTTGGTGTAGTGGTTAGGAGCGCAGACTCTAATCTGGGAGAACCGGGTTTGATTCTCCACTCCTCCACTTGCAGCTGCTGGATGACCTTGGGCAAGCCATAGTTCTGGCACAGCCCCACCTACCTCACAAGGTGTGGGGAGGGGAAGGGAAAGGAGTTTGTAAGCTGCTTTGAGACTCCTTTGGGTAGTGAAGGGCGGGGTATAAATCCAGTCTCCTCCTCCTCCTCCTCCTCTTCTTCTTCTCCTTGCCCACGGAGTCAAATCGACCCTAGTCAGCTTCAGGAGGCTCTGTGGGATCCAGTGCCCCCTAGCGTCTCGTTGGATGACCTGGGGGAGGACTGGGACAACTGGCTCTCTGAAGCCATCAACGAGATTGCCCCCCCGGTGCCCTTTGCGCCCCCGCAGCAAAGCAGCACCGTGGTATACCACAGAGCTGCGAAGCATGAAGTGGGAGCTAAGACGGCTAGAGCGAAGGTGGCAGTATGCTCGTGACAAGTGTCACGAACTTTTATAGGACACTTATGAAAGCCTATGAGATGGCAGTGAAGGCCGCGAAGGATTTCTATGCAGCCTCCATTGCGTCTGTGAGCTCGCACCCAGCCCAATTGTTTAGAGTTATTTGGTCTATCGCGACTGCCTCAGGGCAGACCAAATAGTAGGGAATTGCAAGCTACTTCGCAGATAAGATCATGGTACTCCACCAGGACCTCCCGGCCAAAATTGAGACAGTAAAGGAACTGGAAGCCCCTTGTCCATCTTCTGTTCCACTATTGGACCACTTCAGTTGACTCACCTGGGAGGCCCACTACTTGCCTCCTTGACCTTCCTGGCTAGTGAAATCTTGTGGGGAGAGCATTCGGGCCCCTCTGGAAGAAATCATCAACTTGTCCCTATCTACTGGGACTTTTCTGGAGGCTTTAAAGGAGGCGGTAGTTCGTCTACTCTTGAAAAAGCCATCATTGGACCCAACAGTCCTGACCAACTACCGGCCAGCGTCGAACTTACTGTTCCTGGGTAAGGCGGTTGAGAGAGTGGTGACCAAAAAACTTCGGGCTTTCCTGGATGACACTTCCACCCTTGATCCTTTCCAGTCCGGCTTCTGCCCTGGCTATGGGATGGAGACGGCTCTGGTCGCCCTTACAGATGACCTCCGTAGACATCTGGATTGAGGTGGGTCAGTGCTGCTGTTGTTATTAGATTTAACGGCAGTGTTTGATACGGTCGATTATGATCTTATGGCCTACCGCCTCGCCGACGTAGGAGTCCAGGGGCCTGCCTTGAAATGGTTTTCCTCCTTTCTCCATGGTTGGGGACAGAGGGTGGCGCTGGGCGAGAGGGTCTTCCCGCAGTACCCACTAGAATGTGGAGTGCCGCAGGGGGTGATCCTCTCGCCAATGTTATTTAACATCTATATGTGCCCCCTTGCCCAGTTAGTCCAGAGTTATGGGCTGGCCTGTCATCAGTATGCTGATGACACTCAGCTTTATCTGTTAATGGACGGCCATCCATCCTCTGTTCCTGGAAATTTGGCTGAGGCTTTGGATGCTGTGGCTGGATGGTTGCGGCAGAGTCGACTGAAGTTAAATCCATCCTGTACCTGGGTCATGGGGGTTTGGAGGTGGGCACCAGGCTTCCCACACTGGAAGGGACACCTCTGGTGCCAGCCCTGGGAGTAACACTGGATTCCTCCTTATCTATGGAGGCCCAGGTTGCTGCAGTCGCCAGATCTGCATTTTTCCATCTTAGGCAGATCAGGCTACTGAAGCCCAGGCCCGTAGCTAACGTGGGGCCCACGGGGCCTGCCCCCCTAGCAGTTTTTATGGGCCCCCTTACTGAGCCTCAGCTCCCCTACCCCAACTCCCCCTGATTGCCTGTCAGCCTGTTGGCAGGGAGGACAAGGGCAGTGATTTCAGAGGCTGTCCCTGGTGCTGTGCGGCGGGAAGAGGCACGGGG